TCAAATAAACAACCTAACACTATACTCAAAGAACTAGAAAAACAAGAACAATCCAATCCCAAAATTAGTAGATGGAAAGAAATAATAAAGATCATAGCAGAACTAAACGAAATAGAGACCCCCAAAACTGTACAAAAGATCAATGAAACAAAAAGTTGGTTTTTTGAGAAGATAAGCAAAACAGACAAACCATTAGCAAAGCTAATAAAAAAAAAGAAGAGAGAAAACCCAAATAACAAAAATTAGAAATGATAAAGAAGACATTACAACTGCTACCACAGAAATACAAAGAATCATTATAGACTATTATAAACAGCTGTACACCAACAAATCTGAAACCCTGGAAGAAATGGATAAATTTTTGGACATATACAAACTACCAAGACTGAACCAAGAATACATAGAAAACCTGAACAGACCATTAACAATCAATGAAATTAAAGCAGCAGTCAACAGTCTCCCAACAACAAAAAAAAGCCCAGGACCGAATGGCTTTATTGCTGAATTCTTCCAAACCTTTAGAGAGGAATTAACAATTGTCTTCAAACTATTCCAAAAAATGGAAACAGAGGCCATTCTCCCAAATTCATTCTGTGAGGCCAGCACCACCCTGATACCAAAATCGACAATGATACAACAACAAAAAAGAAAACTATAGGCCAATATCTTTGATGAACACAGACATGAAAATCCTCAATAAGATATTAGTAAATAGAATACAGCAACATATCAAAAAAATTATACACCAAAATTAAGTGGGATTCATCCCAGAGATGTGAGAATGGTTCAACATATGCAAGTCAATAAACGTGATATACCACATCAACAAAATCAAGGACAAAAACCATATGATTATCACAGTACATGCAGAAAGAGCATTTGACAAAATTCAACATCCCTTCATAATAAAGACTCTCAGCAAACTAGGTATAGAAAGTATCTCAACACAGTATAAGCCATATATGACAAACTCACTGCCAACATCACCCTGAATGAGGAAAAGCTAAAAGCTTTTCCCTTAACAACGGGGACAAGACAAGGATGCCCACTCTTACCACTCCCATTTAACATAGTATTAGAAGTACTAGCCAGAGCAAGAGAAAGAAATAAAGGGCAACCACACTGGAAAAGATGCAGTCAAATTGTCCCTGTTTGCAGATGACATGATAATATATAAAGAAAAGCCTAAAGACTCTACCAGAAAACTTTTAGAGCCGATAAATTATTTCAGTGAGGTTGCAGAATACGAAATCAACATGCAAAAATCAGCAGTGCTTTGATACTCCAACAACTACCTAGCAGAAAAAAGAAATCAAGAAAACTAGACCATTTACAATAGTCATCAAAAAAAAAAAATTACTAAGTATAAATTTAACCTAGGACATGAAAGATCTCTATGAGAACTGCAAATCACTGTTGAAAGAAATTAAAGAGGACACAGAAAGATGGAAAGATAATCCATGCTCTAGGATTGGAAGAATTAACATTGTGAAAATGTCTATACCACCTAAGGCAATCTACAGATTCAATGCAATCCCCATCAAAATAGCAATGACATTCTTCACAGAAACAGAAAACATTGATATGAAACAACAAAAGACCTCAAATAGCCAAATCAATCCTGAGCAAAAAAAATAAAGCCAGAGTCATAATACTACCTGACTTCAAATTATACTACAAAGCCACAGCAACCAAAACAACATGGTACTGGCATAAAAACAGATACTCAGACCAATGGAACCAAATAGAGAACCCAGAAATTAACCCACATACTTACAGCCAACTGATCTTTGACAAAGGCACCAAGAATGTTCATTGGGGAAAAGACAGCCTCTTCAATAATAGATGGTGCTGGGAAAACCGGACATCCATATGTGGAAAAATAAAAACTAGACTCGTACCTGTCACCATATACCAAAATCAACTAAAATGGATTAAAGACTTAAATATAAGACCTGAAACTATAAAACTCCTAAAAGAAAACACTGGGAAAACACTTTAGGAAGTAGGACTGGGCAAAGACTTTCTGAATATGACCCCAAAGGCACAGGCAGCAAAAGGGAAAATAAACAAAGGGGATTAGATCAAACTGAAAAGCTTCTGCACAACGAAAGAAACAACTAACAGAGAGAAAAGATTAGATTTACAGAGAAAAGTAGATTTACAGAGTGGAAGAGAATACTTGCAAACTATGCTTCTGACAAAGGATTAATATCCAGAATATACAAGGAACTCGAATAACAGTAAAACAAATCAAAGCAAAACAAAATCCAATTACAAAATGGGCAAAGGAGTTGAACAAGTATTTCTCAAAGGAAGATATACAAATGGCCAACAGACACATGAAAAAAATGTTCAACATCATTCAGCATTAGGGAAATGTGAATCAAAACCACAATGAGACATTATCTCATCCCAGTTACACCAGCCATTACCAAAAAGACAGAGAATAACACGCTGTTGAGGATGCAGAGAAAGGGGTAGGACTGTAAATTAGTTTACCCATTATGGAAAACAGTATGGAGGCTCCTCAAACAACTACAGATAGAAGTACCATAGGATCCAGCAATCCTACTGCTGGGTATATACCCAAAGGAATGGAAATCATCATGTTGAAGGGACACTGGCACTCTCATGTTTATCGTAGTTCTATTTACAACAGCCAAGATTTGGAACCAACTTAAATGTCCATCAACAGACGACTGGATAAGGAAAGTGTGGTTTATTTACACAATGGAATACTACTCTACCATAAGAAAGAATGAAATTCTGCCATTTGCAGCAACAGTGATGAACTTAGAGAAAATTATGTTAAGTGAAATAAGCCAGGCACAAAAAGAAAATTACCTCATGTCCTCACTGACAAGTGGGAGCTAAAAACAAACAAACAAACAAACAGAAAAACCTAAAAAAAGAAAAAAAGAAAGCCACAACAATCAAAATAATATGTTGAACTTTCAAAAGGAGAGAATAGAACTGAGGTTATCAGAGCTGGGAAGGTCAGGGGAAAGGGGAGTAGGAAGGAAGTGTTAAAGGGCCACGAAAAACGATTACATTGTATAATGTTGAACATACTAATTGTCCTGATTTGAGCATCCCATATTGTACACAGTTAATATTCAACTCTGTACCCCACAGATATGTACAATCAACTATGATTCAATTAAAAAAAAAAAAAGAGCGTGTACAGCAAAGGAGGTTCATAGGATAAACAGGGCACAGGAAGAAAATATTAAAACTTCTATATTTGTCATCTCTTATATTAAAATTTTTCCATTCAGTGGCATATTTTATAATGTATTTAATATATTAGTACATAATAACATATGAAGTTAATTTATATATGAATAAGTATACACATATTTGGAAGGTATGCTAAAAATTTTTTTATGAATAGGAATGCATAATGAAAATTAGGAGAGAACTGCTACGGGCATTGGGAAACTATCAATAGTTTTAATGGGAGGAAATGACATTATTATTATTTTTTTTTCCTTTTTGTCTTTTTTACTGACTGGTAATGGGATCGCAACCCTCGGTGTTGTGCCCGCACCACGCTCAGCCAGTGAGCGGGAACCAGTCTCCACATGGGATCCGAACCCTCGGCGGGAGCGCCGCCGCGCTCCCAAGCGGCGCACTCTCCAGTGCGCCACCGGGCCGGCCCGGAAATGACATTATTAAAAAACTGCCCTGATATCACTTTTACTAACACTAAGATGTTCTCAAGAAGTTATCGAAAAAGTCTATTTGGAGAATTTGGTGAGGAACCATATTAAGTAGACTGTACATTTTATCACGCTAAGTCAGATTTCACACGGCCAGTAATTCAATTACTTATTTAGAGACCATAAAGTTAAAGGCAAACAATCTCACTCTCAGTTATAACAAGGGAAAAGTTAAGGAGTCTGTTTCTTTCTTGAACTCATGTCCAAAGTAAGCCAGTCTTAAGCAGGAGCCTGACCTAGTTCTCCTTCTTACTGGGCATCTCTTATGTGCTAAAACTATGTATGCTATGTGATGAGAGCACAGAGAGGAATTCAGGCAGTATCTCTGATTTGAGGAATCACAGCCTTGTGGTGGAAAATGCAGTATGCCAATAATTGAAGCAGAATAATATGTGTTACAATCAAGGTGCTACAGACAAAGGAAAAAGCACCAACTTTGCCTACATACAGGAAGAGATAAAGGAAGGCTGCGAAGTCCTGAAGGAAAATAAGAGTTTGTTAAGTACCCAAAAAGAGGAAGAACATTCAAGACAGAAAGAAGTATGAACAAAGATCTGAGGAGGTAAAGGAGAGGGCCATGATTTTTTTCCTACAGAAACAGTGTTGCCAGCAGAGAAAACAGTAAGACAGAGGCCCTTAGCCAGAAATGTGCTTGGAGTGTTCAGAAGCAACAAGAAGGCTGGTGAGTTGCTGCAGTGGAGTAAGCAGAGGGGAAAATAGCAAGAGGAGAAGATGTCGTAAAGATAACAGGGGGTGAGAGCATGTGGTGTCTTATAGCCTTTTTAAGGACTCTGGCTTTTACCTTGAAGGAGATGGAAAGTCACTGGTGAGTTTTAAGTACATACATGGCAAGATCTCACTTAAAATTTCATAAGATCATTGGCTACTATGTTGAGAACAGACTGAAGGGGAACAAGCTGGAAAAAGAGGAGGTAGTACTAGGAGACAAATGCATGAACATGAGATTATAGAGGAGCTGCAGTGATTGGATATGGTTTAGGGGTGTAAGATATGACCATGGTATTAAGTGGTTAAGAAAGAGGATAAAATTGTGGACAGGGCGGTCAAGGAAGTAAGTTGCTAATAACAGTTAAAATAGCAACGTTTGCAAGTGATTTACTCACTTATATTCTGAAATTCTTTCTTAATAGAAAAAGAAGAGTTGTGGTTAGTGAACTAGAAATTGTACATAAAAAGTTTTGCATAAATAAGCATCATATTGTGTGAAGTACAGTGGAAAAAGGTTTGAGAATTGCTTTTCTAAGGTGGACTTACTTGGCTGCTGCTTGCAAACCACAGGCTCTGATAATCTGGACTGAGATAGAGACAGCTCGGGCAGCAAGAACTCCCTCTGCTGTTCTTGGACAACGCCTGTACTTTAGGCCCACGTCCAGTAAACCTGAAGAATGAGAACAAAAGGAAGAATGATGAAAAGGCTGGTTGAAGAATCTCTGTTCTACCAAACCACAATGTCCTGGTCAGAAAGGAAGAAGACAAACTACTACAGTCATAATGAACAATAAGGGGCCTTAGCAGTGAAAGAATCTGTCCTTGGTCAGAATCACATTAATTACTGTATTTTAGAGTTAATAAAGGCATGCCAGGTTATTATTTCACTTCACATCCAAGAAACTATGGCTTAGAGACTCAAGTGCTTGCCAATATCACACAACTATCAAAGGAAGAACTTAATTCCAGATTTTTTTAAACCCCCAGCTGTGTTCACAGAACTGAGACGGACTCGAGATTTTCTTCTTTTCTAAACTTTTAAAAGATTCTCACACTTAACATACTCCTATTACCCTCCTACCATCACCACATAAACTGCCCTTCGCTTACCACCTTTTTATTAAAATTCCACCATCCTACCGTCACCTACCAGGGAAGGCTTTAAGGAAGAACAGAACAAGCTGATCAGTGAGTGTCAGGAGAAACAACTCAGTCTTAATTATGGCAAGATAAAACCTTTTGTTTTGGCAGATACTTTTTAGCAAGTATGCACAGCAACTTGATTTAGGAGGTTTATCCTGGTTATCTGATGACAAGCTTGGAGGGTAGGTCATCCTGCTGGAACCATCAGGATGTAATACCATTCAAAACTCCAAATTCTAATTAATCCCTTGCAAATCTAAATCCTAACTTCCTTCTCCCTTACAGTGAATTCCCAGTTCAAGCTAACCACATTCCATCAACCCCACATCTGTTCATGTTGCCTTGGAATCATAATTCTAAGTGCACATATTTAGTACTTAGAATTTATGCCATGAGGACTTATTAAATATTTGCAACTTTTATAGAGTCCGTGGACCTATGAATTTTCTAGAATTGTATGCAAAATTTGCAGTGTATATTCTACACTCATTTCTGTAAGAGAGGTGCCTCATAATTTTCATCAGATCCTCAAAAGGGTAAGTACATCAAAATGTGAAGAATTGCTAATTTAGAGAGAAAAGGGATATTCTGGTATATTGATTTCGAAAGAGAAAGACAAACTAGTCTTTAATTACTTGATGACTGGTTCCTCAATTCTTTCCTGTTCTCAATCCTGGGAGTTAAAGGGAGATTAAAGGTCTGTATTCCCATATCTTCACGGTGCTGCATGGTTACCATGGCACAGATCCTTGATAACGGCAAGGTTCCTTTGGCGACCATCTGGTCTCTCACATTAGGATAATAGTATCTGTAAACCACAAAAGCAGGACCTGTCAGTTGTAAGAATTAGGTAGATGAATGATTCAGTCTGCCTGAGGGATCAGCTTTTAGTAGTTATCTTTGGAGCTGATTGTTTTATACTGATGGTATACAGCTGCGTTTGTGACTGGCTGGATTTACTATGCATTACATGCAGGAGGAACCCCATAAGTTATATTGTGAGTTCAGGACAAAACCCAGCTTCCCACAGGCTTTCTGTTTGAGGTAACCGCATATGCCTTGGACCTCCGGGAGTAGCCACTTCTGAAAGCTTCCATCCTGCAGCAGCAAAATGGTTTTAAGTAGAGCAGTCCCAATCTCTTCTATAGCTCACCCTTGTCTTCAGGCCTAGGCCCTTCTAGTTTGGAGGGGTAATGAGGATCTGTCAGTACCTAGTCTATATCCTTCTCATGTCAAAACAATCCATTCTTAGATCACAAAGTTGTAAATCAAACCTAGGTGGTTTTAAAAATATGTTTTGCACTTGATTTTCACCTGATCGTATTTACAAAAAACTTCTGACACATGCATGGTACTCTTTTTCTAGTTCTGTTCCTGGTGCTGTTTCCTCTCCTTTCATATTTATACTCTCTTAGTCATTTTAGTTGGTTTCTTGGGGATATGGATGCCAGGGGGAAGACTGAACATCTGTATTCATGCCAGTATTTAGCCTGGAAATTTACTACCAATGTCTGTAACATTGAGTGGATTTATATTTTACAAAGGCTACTCTTCTGGTGGTGGGAAGAACAGATTACATGAAATAAGTTTAGAAGTGGGGAGACCACTTAGGAGGCTATAACAGTAATTTAGGCATGATATGATAAGGGCATGAACTAAATAAGGTAGTTTAAGAAAAGCACAAAAATGGTGATAGGACTTCATTTTCAATGTAAGTAGCAGTTAAAAGTATGAGACACAATTGCTCCCAAGATCCTAATAATTTAGCAAGAATTCAGTAAAAACCAGACAAGAGTCAATGTCAAATCCAAATAATGTGAAACAGGGCAAAGGGGCTGCTTAGCTTTCTTACAAAAATTTAACCTAGGCTGGTTAAGGATAGGATGCTTTATGATTGTGCACTTTCTTCCTGGGCACAGGATTGGGTTCTTCATACTGTACCTGCACCAGATTTCAAACTGGACCCCACCTCCAGGCACAAGTCCTTGTGCAGAAAAGACACTTAGTAGGAGCCGTTGCACTGGAACTTCAGTTGGCAACAGGAGAGAGTGATGGTGCTCACTATTAAAGATGGGATCTGGAACACAGAGTGTGGTTGCAGTTCTGAAGGGTTTCAGAGTGATTCCTATGGAAAAGAAAAGCAAATCAGAATAACTCAGCATATCACTTAAGTGTTTTATATGTGATAGGACAGTACTTTAATATACAGTATTCTGTTTTATTCTTACAATATTCCTGTAAGGAAAACAAAGCAGGTATTATTACTCCTACTTTATAGATGAGTGTAATGGACACCTTGAGGTCACAGTTAACCCAAAGGTCTTAGAACTAGTAGGTCACATACCTGGAACCAGAACCTATATCTTTTCAGTACCAAGGTCCAGTTCCCTAAGATCCCATGATAGTACAGTAGAGATTCCTTTGCTGGTGGACAATGTATGAGGGTTCCCATTTCACCATATTGTCACCAACACTTGTTAGTCCTTTTTATCAGCACCACACTCTCCAGAGTGAGCCATGGGCTGGCCCCACTGTTAGTCCTTTTTTAAAAAAAAATTATAGCCATCTCAGTGGGTGTGAAGTAGTATCTCATGGTGGTTTTAACTTGTATTTCTCAAATGACTAATGATGCTCAGTACCTTTCCATATGCTTATTACCATTTATATATCTTTGGAGAAATGTCTACTCAGATCCTTTGCCCATTTTTAATTAGTTTTTTATTATGATTTGTAAGAGTTCTTTATATATTTTGTATACAAGTCCCTTGTTTGAACCCCTTATTTATAATGGCAGCACTTTGGCAGTCATTCTTGGACTTGTGCAGAATGGCAAAAAATTGAGTTGCCCAATCTGCTTGCTTCCAGCTTAGATTGAACAAGGTGAGGCCCTCTTATTTCAGCTCTCAGAGATGATCAGAAGATGGAGATGGTAGGGAGAAGTGCAGCGTAGTGCAGGAAACTCCTGTTCTGGGTCCAGTTGGACAGGGTTTGAATCCTGACCTTGGCACTTATTAGTGAGGTGGTCCCAGACAAGTCAGTTAATGCTTCCAAACCTTGTTTTCTCTTTTGTAAAATAAAGAAAATAGAATCTACCAGGATAAGTTGTTTGTAGGATTTAAGATTATGATCCATGTGAGCAATGTACATTTATGTGTACGTATTTTTCTTAGAAGCAGTGGTTCAGTAGTCTCTAATTAAGTGTTCACAGAGACTTTAGGAATATAACTCTTGAACATAACTACCACAAATAATGAGAATCAAGTGTATGTGTACAGATGAGATGAGTCAGTAAGCTTGTAAATGATATGAGACAAAATGTAAATTAGTAGGTCTAGGTAAAGGGTATACAGAAGTTCCTTGCACTATTTTTACAACTTTTTCATAAATTTGAAATCATATCAAAATTAAATGTTACAAAAAGCAGTTTATACAAAGAAAAACAAAAACTTAGTCTATCTCCTATTTTACTGCCCAGTTAAGACTAGAAACATTCAACAATACAAAATTCAATCAGGAAAAAAAAATATATTCCTAAGTGTATTCAATAAAGAATCATATAAGAATGAGATGGCCTAATCTCCCAAACCTACCATTTTCAAGGAACTCAGGTCCTTTTAGAACACTGGATTGTGAGTCTTGAACTGGAAAGTAGTACTGGACATAACAATCTGCTTCTCCCCAGACTGTTGCCTGAAGAGGGGTTAGCCCTTTAACCATTTCTATGTGGAACTCAAAGTGGTGCTCCATCAATGCATTTACTTGGTCCTCTGCCTATTAAATGAAACAGAAACACTGGTGTGCTTTAAGGAGTAACTTGCTTAGAATATCCCTGCTTCTCTACGAAATCTAAGCACAGATGAAGAAATAAATGTAATTAGCTAATACTAAAACAGATACTTAATTTTCATTGTGTATAACTCTCACAACTGGTTACTGTAATCAGACCAAGCAGGATTTACTCTAGACCATGAGACTGTGTTAATATAAGGAAATGCACAAATATAATTCAGTGCATTAATGGAACAAAGGGAAAAAACCTCCATGACTATGTCAATAAATGCTAAAAAGGCATTTGATAAAATTCAACATTTGTTCCTAATAAAAGCTCTTAGTACACTAAAAACAGAAGGTTAGTTACATAATTGGAAAAAGAATACATATTAGAATCAAATAGGTATTAACTTATGATGACTTTTGCTAAAGATGTTGAGGATAATATCAGGACTGTAAAATAATGGGTAAGGACTACTTGGGCAGGTAGTGAATACACTGTTATAAATGTACTGCTACTAATAACAATTAATTAATATTCACTGAGTATTTACTGTGAGCCAGGTACTGTATCAACCACTTCACTTGTATTAGCTAATTTAACATGCATAGCTAAGAACAGTGGAATCAAGGTTTAGAATCGGGTAGTCTGATGCCAGAGCCAGTCTTCCTTACATCTATTCTATACAGCTTCAGTAGGCATCTGACAACTGATTATCAGGAATATTCAAAGGTGGAATTCAGCATTTAGGTAAGAGTGAGACTGTATAATTCTACATGTTTTAACATTCTAATTACTAATCCAATAAATCTGGAACAAAGATTGCATTAGGTCTTAACTTTGAAATCTAAAAACATATTTTAGGAATATCTGCTCAAAAACTTTCTTTAGGGAAATAGAAAACTTGCAATTTGATTCTTTGGAGCAAAAGATTGGGAGAAAAACCTCTCAGATTCATAGCTGTTTAATTTCGCCATACGGTGTTACAGCAATTTAATAATTCAGTTGTAAAGATGGTGAACAGGATGAGAGACATCAGTATAGGAGGAAAAACAATTGTATTTGTAGTTATTTAACCTCACAGACAAACGTTTCAAGGACTTCCTCTGTGCTTATAGTGAGAAACATTTTCTAGCTTATAGTATAGAGTTTAAGAAAATCTGAGTCTACACTGTGAAGTGATGGCCATATATCTCTTAAATAAACTTAGCAATATTAAAGGTGATTTTTCTTTCTGTGTGCTTTTATGCAATTTTCCATTATAACATACTTAAATGGTGTGGAGACTGAGATTTGGCTCCATTTGTAAAGACAACAAATTTAATATACAGTAAGACATGATACAGTGGAATGAAGACTGGATTTAGAATCAGAAGACTTATGTCTGAACCCCAATTCTCCCATTCTTATTTATGTGACCCTGGACGAGTAACCAACCCCTTCAATTCTCTGTTTCATTACCTATAAAAGAGAACCACAATGACCCACTTCATGCAGTTGTTAGAGAAATAAACATGACAAAGTATGTCAATGTGCTTTCTCAATTGTAGTGCTCTGTACAAAAAAGTTACTTTTAGGTTGCTAATAGAAAAGCAAAGCACTTCACTATAATTTTCCAACATGGACTTAGCCAACAGAGTAAGATTTTGCTGGCTTACATTTGGGATCACTCCCCATCCCCAATTTTTAAAAGGCAATTAAGTTCGTAAATTAGAGGATTAAAATCTGGTTGTCCAATTAGATTTTCTTTATAAATTCAGGGAGGTCAGAGGGACACAGAGATCCATTTAAACCATAACAGAAAAATCCAATGATTCTTTTGATTTATAGCAAGCACTAGTGTGCAAGTTATTTCTTTTGTTGAGCCTTTCATTACTGAAATAAGGATTTTTATTTTTTTGGTGGCTGGCTAGTACTGGGATCTGAACTCCTGACCTTGGTATTATGACACCAAGCTCTAACCAGCCAACCCTGAAATAAGGATTTGGGGCAATGGTTTCACTAAAATATGCAAGAGAAAATGAGATTATGGTTTTCTGTGAACTACAGTGTTTAGTCACTACCATAGCAACAGATGCTACAGATGGCTGGTCCAGGAAATGGGCTGGCCTAGGGCTGAAGGCAGGGAGTGTTCTTTCTTCATTCTTTAATCTTTGTAGTGCCATTATTTGATATGAAGAACCCATAGCTAAAAAGACACGAAGACTCCCATTTTGGTGGCCCGAGAACACATCAATCACAGGCATGTAGCTGTCGACAGCAACAACTGGGTACTGGGCATCAAGCAGCAGGCGAGAAATCTTGGGATCTCTAGAGGGGCAGAAATTGTGAATGAGCAAATAACCATGATCAATCATGTCACAGAGTTGCTTCATTTCTTACTCGGCTTATTTTCTCAGTTTGTTAAAAATGGATCTACAACTAATAGTGGTTTTCAAAAATGTGTGATTCTGTCAGTAACCAATCAAATAAAAACTACCAGGCAGATAAGTTCAAATGTAGCAATTTGAGGGTTGGGATGTGTCTGATGTATCTCTGCATCATCATGGCCCCAAGCCCAGTGTCTGTGATCTGAGAAGTATCTCAGTGGAGCCTTGCTGAACTGCATTATTTTATAGGGAGGTAGTATGGTCAGCTAGGAAGAGTGTAGACTTTGAAGTCTGGCAGATAAGATTTGGATAATATTACCAATAATATCTGCCATGTACTGAGTGCTTACTGTGTGATAGGTACTTTATAGTGTTTCTAATCCTTCTAACATTGTAAAGGTTAATATTATCCACTATTAACAGAAATGAGAAAAGGTAAATTAAGGATACACGACTAGGAGGAGGTTGAGCTGGGATTCAAGCTTTGATCCATGATTCATTATACCATGCTAAATCTTAGCTCTGCCATTTACTTGCTGTGTGACTTAAGCAATCAATTTAACATTTCTAAGTCTGTTTCCTCATTTGTAAAATACAGGTAATAAAAATTCTATCACAGGGCTGTTAGGACTAAACTGAGATAACAAATACAAAATACCAAGTATGGTGCTGGGTACATGGTATAAGCACTATACCAACTTTAATGCTTGGTACATGGTAACTGCTCAGTAGTTGGTAGCTACTACTGTTTTATGCTCCCTCAGCAAAGAATGGGATCTAATGAAATGAGAAGGGAAGCGGAACACTAGACCAGACTAATATCACAACTTAAAAAAAGGGGGAAAGCTAAAGCCTACAGTGGACAGTGGCATCCATTATTCCAGCAGTACTCCTCAGCCTGGCCATCCTTTCCAATGTTACTATGATAAAGACTTAGCTATTCACACAATGCATACCTATGAATTTTTTCACTGACCCTCACAATTGCTCCACATGAGAGATAGGGGATCTATTATCATCCTCATTTTACAGATGAGGAAAAGAAAGCCAAAGAAGTTATGTGACTTCTTCAAGTCAAAGGACAAATTTCCTCATTACTGAAATGGGGACAGTGGTAATACTTCATGGGGTTATAGGAAGGCTCAAATGAGATAATGTCCACAAAAGAGCTCTTTGTAAAATGTAAAACACAACATTTAAAACACAGAGCTATGGGGGTATGTGAACTGTCTGTACTTTCTCCTCAATTTTTCTGTAAACCTAAAGCTGGTACAAAAATAAAGTCATAAAACAAAAAAAGGAGAGCAAGTGAAGAGGTTAGCTCTGTCTTACTTCCAGGGGGCTGGCCAGTTAGCTGAGTTGGTTAGAATGCAGCCTTATAAGGGCCAGCCTGTGGCTGACTTGGGAGAGTGTGGTGCTGATAACACCAAGGCCACGGGTTTGGATCTCTATTTAGGCATAGCCGGTTGCTCACTTGGGAGAGCGTGGTGCTGACAACACCAAGTAAAGGGTTAAGATCCCCTTACTGGTCATCTTATATTAAAAAAAAAAAAAAAAAAAAAAATGCAGCCTTAAAACACCAAGGCCACGGGTTTGGATCTCTATTTAGGCATAGCCGGTTGCTCACTTGGGAGAGCGTGGTGCTGACAACACCAAGTAAAGGGTTAAGATCCCCTTACTGGTCATCTTATATTAAAAAAAAAAAAAAAAAAAAAGAATGCAGCCTTATAACACCAAGGTCACGGGTTTGGATCCCTGTACTGACCAGCTGCCAAAATAAATAAATAAAGTCTATTACTTAAAAAAAAACCCAAAACCCAAACAAACCACAGAACCATGAGCAGGCTGCTAGGAAAGAGTTCAGTTCCAAAATAATGAAAAATTAGCACCTTGAATCAAAACAAAAAATGAACTGCCTGTACTGAGGGACAGAAATAACCTTCAGAGAAATCAATACCCCATCAAGGTGTTAAAGTAAGGTATAATAATCAAATCTGAAGGTCTAAAACACAATATTCATTAAAGAAATCTTGCAAAGAGCTGATGTGAACAATACTGACTTTTTGTGACTGAGGTAGTTTTGTGAGGTTGTAACTTTAGTCAGTAGAGCTTTTTGGTGAAGAGAGTGGACTCTAGAGCCAGACTATCCAGGTTCTAACCCTGGTTCCACTCTTATGATATATGTGACAAGTAATTTACCTTCTCTGAGTCTCTATTAACTTATCTGTACAATAGGGGAAATAAAAGTACCTACTTCAGGGGTTGTTATGAAGATTAAATGGCTTTATGTATGTAAGGTTCTCTGCATAGTGCCTGAAACATGGTAAGCAGCATCTGCAAGACTGCTTGAAACAGGAGAAAGAGCAGCAACTCTGGCGAAACTGAGAAAAGTCCTCCAAGGGAATATTGAGCTATTCATGTTTCCAAACCACAAGAATTCCTCCTCAATCCATACAAAGTTATAGACAGAAAATAAAGTATACTCCAAAAGATCATATTTACTTGAATGACATGTAAAACTGATGGAGGGGGAGTTTCACCAGCCCGAGCAGCTTGTCCTGTCCTGGACTCCGCACCTTGTTCCAAGTTTCAATGACCATCACATTGTTCTTAAGCCTTTCCAGGTATTTGGAAGACAGAGAAACAGGAATCACCTAGGGGAGAAGAACAATGAAAAACAAAACCCACACCTGAGACAAAGGATTAATTTATACTTTTATTTAACAAGCATTTACTGAAAGCCTACTTTGTGCCAGGCACAGTGTTAGGAGCTGAAGACATTAAAATAAAATGCACTCTACATCCTCAAGAGAAGCAGCAGTCTGCTGTTAGAGACTAACACATAAAGGCCAGAAACAAAATAGTACGAGTTGTCTAACAACAAAGCTCATATAGATAGGGCTTTGGGGAAACAGAAAAGGTTGTCAGACATGTCAAGCATGGTGCCTGCCAAAATCATCCAACCCTTTCTAAGGCAAAGTGACCCATTTGTAAACCCTGCTGTGAGAAAGATGTTTTTGAAACAAGGATGGCTAATGACTGGATGAGGGTTGAGCACTTTATCAAAAGGCAGCTAATCTACTGGCTGGATAGTGTTTAATGAAATGGTCTAATGCAAAAAGCCCAACAGGTGTCATGGTATATAGCAAGACCAACTGTTCATCTGGATTTTCAGTGTAAAATTAGGTATTCCTTAATTGGTCAGGTGGTGTTTGAAAGAAAAAAGACTAGTTACAAAGAGAAAAAGAAGTCTAGAGACCAGAATAGCTCCACCAAATTAATGGTAGAATCAAGGGCCCACCAATTTGAAGGAACCTAAGCTGTAGTAACAAATGTAACAGTAGAGGAGAGATAAGCCCCAGTGATGAAACCAACAGAAAACATGAGGGGCAAAAAGAGTGAAACCAAAAGTCATATAAGGCATGATGAGAGGAAGACACCAGAAGAACAGAAAAACAGAGCAGAGCTACTTTTGTATCCACCTAAGAAACTCTAATTACACAAGGTAATTACCTGAATATACCTCTGTTCCTTGAAATCAAAAAAAGTAAGACTAACATAGCAACTTAACCTCCAAATAAGGAGGTTTCTTACAGAGCTTCTGGGAGGAAGTAATCTTAAATCGTAAGGATGAACAGGAGTTAACTAGTACAAACAGCTCTGCCTAACAGGTGAAGGCTGAAAAGGAAATTCAAGGTAAAAGGAGCAGCACACGTAAAGACCAAGAGGTAGGAGAAGGGAATTTTCAGGAAACTCCAAGTAGCTCAGTATAGATGGACTATCTAGAGTGAAGGGAAGAATGGCAGAAGATGAGACTGGAGAAGTATATATAGACAATTCTTAAAGAGTCTTGCAGTCCACACTGAGGATTTATATTCTATCCTGAAGGCTATGAGGAATCACTTGAAAGGTTTTAAGCAGGGGAGTAAAATGTCCAGGTTAGTGTTTTAGAAAGATCATTCCTATAGGTGCATAGAGGGAGGGACAAACAGGGAGAGACTAGAAACAGGCAGGCCAGTCTGAAGGCTGTTTGGAATGAACATCAGAATCTGAAGGGAAGCAGTGGCAATGGAGTGCAAGTAAGGGGATGTATTCCAGAGATAATTAAGCTTTCAGCATCTATTGGACTTGGTGAATAATTACATAAGAGTCAAGAATGACTTTCAGGTTCTGCTTAAGTTTCTAAGTACATTATAACGTGAATTAGGGTAGACAAAAAGAGAAGAACAGGGCCGGCCCCGTGGCGCACTCGGGAGAGTGCGGCGCTTGGGAGCGCAGCGGTGCTCCCACCACGGGTTCAGATCCTATATAGGTATGGCCGGTGCGCTCACTGGCTGAGCGTGGTGCGGGCGACACCAAGCCAAGGGTTGTGAACCCCTTACTGGTCACGAAAAAGACAAAAAAAAAAGAGGAAGAACAAATTTGGAAGGAATAATAAATTTTGACTTGGACATATTTGAATTCCTTCTTTCATTTACACATCTTTATTGAATACCTGGTACATGCCAGACAGTACCTTAGGTGCCAAATGTAATGTACTTTTAAGACATCCAGGTGATGATGAGCAGCAGGCAATTAGACACAGAGATCTGAAACTAGAAGGAAATGTTGACATATAGAAGTGTAGAGTTTGGAAGTTATCTTCATAAAAATAACAGGTAAAGCTGTGGGAACAGATGTGATGACCACAGGGAAAAGAGGGTTGATTTGGAAGAGTACCAGCAACAGAGTAACAAATGGGAGCACCAACAATTAAAGGTAAGAGAAAGTTAGAAGTACTGACCACCACCCTTTTCATACTTTTCCTCTTGGCCCAATGACTGAAAAGAACAGCTGTTGAGTCAGGAAGAAAATAACAGAGTAGAGTTACAAAAACCAAGATAGAAAACAATTTAAGCAACAGCACCAAATTCTACAGAGAGATCAAGTAAGATGAATATTGAGGTAAGTGGAAGAATAAATGAGAGAAATATATAAATAAAATAATAAAGAGGAAATCAGACAGGAAAGATGGGTGAGTTTCTAGAGGAAGTCCTATAGGAAGCTCAAAGTTATAGAATCCATAACTCAGGCAAAAGAAATAGTGGAAAACCATGTGAACTGAGACAGAACAAAGAAATAAAGACAGAAAAAGTTACAAAATGTTGGCAATGTCTTTTCCTCTTCCTATCCAAAAGTGGGAATGGACCTATACCTCAGGTAATTACAAAGATCCTTTCCAGTCTGAACATTTTAGATTTCTTTTAAGATGGAATTGAGATTTTGGAAATATATTTGTCTCCCATGTCCATGCACCACTAATGGACATAGAATGTACAAAGTTACCTGAGAAAAGTTAAAGACTGGTTGTGTTGTCCCCCATGCGATGACAGATCTGGTAACTTCCTCTGTGCTGAAGAATTTGCAATTCAAATAAACATTGCATGGTGGTTGTTTCTCAGATTCTCCAGTAATGAAATCTTTCCCATCTGGTACCATTAACAACATATGCAACAGCAAAGCACTGTCTTTTGTTGACCCAAATGTCTGATTTACTAAATTGTGGGATGCTGGCATAACCATGAAGGTTGAAGGATTTGGGCTTGGTGACTTTGGGTTGGAAAGCACCAAATTCTGTGCTGTCTCTGTAGATTCCTCATGAATTTCATTTAGGTTTTGTGGATTTTTGGTACAGATAGTATCTTGGCTAGGTTCTGGTACTATCTTATCTGGATTTGCAGGAGCACAAAGTGGGATATGTTGGGTGCTTCTACTTAACTTAGTATTAATACCAGTGAAATCTTTGTTATCCATAACAAGCTCCATGGTTACCTGTAAAATACAAAAGGAGAAGAGTGAGTAAGAATGTCCTCTAGAATTAGAATCAAGATTTTGGAGCTGGAAGCAACATTTGATTATTAGGAAATGAATTAACTTATCTTCAAACACCGTAATAGTAAGGACACTAACAGACTGCATATACGTTAATCTGCCAGACTAAAAAAAGCCAGACAGACGATTTATCAATACAAGATGAGCCTGAAACATCATCTTGTGCCGGAAAATAAAGTGGTGCTCAGAAAAGGATGCAGACATGTTTTAAGGACACAGAATCTGGTTGAAGAGGCTCCCACTGGCTAAATCTAGAATAATTTAAACATCAAAATGAACAACAGTAATGGATTATAACCTATTGAATAACATCAGAGTCTGTGAGTCCATAGTGATATAAAATATGGGAAAAGAGACAACTCTTCCATATAGCAGAATGCCAATTAATAAATGCATAGGGAATGGTGAAGTTAGAAATCACAATTTTATGATCATCATAGTAATAAGTGATTCAGATAAACCCCAGTGGAGGGACATTCTATAAGACGGCCTTACTCTTTAAAAATATGAATGTGCTGAAAGATAAGAAAGGGCTGAAAAACTGTTGCAGACTGAAGTGAGATTACTAGATGACAATTAAATGCAATGAATAATCCTGGACCGGAAAAAATTTTGCTATAAAGGAATGTATTGGCACAACTGGTGAAATGTGAGTATAGGCTGTACATAGAATATAGTATCAATGCTAAATTGATTTTTATAACTCTAGAGTATTATGCACAATAATGTCCTTGTTCTTAGTAAATACATGAAATACATACTAAAGAATTTAGGGGGAAAGAGGCATAATATCTGTAACTTACTCTCAAATAGTTTAAGAAAAATTGGGAAGGGGAATATACACATATGGGGGAGGAGGAGATGAAGGGATGGAAAAGAGACAGAGAGAGAGGAGGCAGACAGAAAATTATCAAGCAAATGTGACCAATATTAAGAATTGGTGAATCTGGGTAAAGAGTATGGGAGTTCTTTGTACTACTTTTGCAATTTTCTCTAAGTTTTTCTTTTTTTTTTTTTTTTTCCTTTTTTGACTTTTTTTTTACTGACCGGTAACAGTATGGGAGTTCTTTGTACTACTTTTGCAATTTTCTCTAAGTTTTTCTTTTTTTTTTTTTTTCCTTTTTTGTCTTTTTTTTTACTGACCGGTAACGGGATCACAACCCTCGGTGTCGCACCTGTACCGGGGACCGGCAACGGGATCGCAACCCTAGGTGTTGCGCCCGCACCGCGCTCAGCCAGTGAGCGGGAACCGGTCTCCACATGGGATCCGAACCCTCAGCGGGAGCGCCGCCAGTCTCCTAATAGTTAGTGACCACTTCTCTTCTTTAAATTTGTCATTAATCCAACAACTTTTTTCTTTCTTTCTTTTAGTCTCCTAATAGTTAGTGACCACTTCTCTTCTTTAAATTTGTCATTAATCCAACAACTTTTTTCTTTCTTTCTTTTAGTCTCCTAATAGTTAGTGACCACTTCTCTTCTTTAAATTTGTCATTAATCCAACAACTTTTTTCTTTCTTTCTTTTAGTCTCCTAATAGTTAGTGACCACTTCTCTTCTTTAAATTTGTCATTAATCCAACAACTTTTTTCTTTCTTTCTTTTCGGACACGAAAAAAGACAAAAAGGGAAAAAAAAAAAGAAAGAAAGAAAAAAGTTGTTGGATTAATGACAAATTTAAAGAAGAGAAGTGGTCACTAACTATTAGGAGACTCAATTACTAGGGATAAAGAGTTTTTGCTATTCTTATTATCTGAAACCCATAGGTGTTACACAGCATAGTTCCTTTCCTTTATCAAATATAGGCAGCAATTGATCTAGAATAGTGTTTCTCTCAACAGAGCCCGGACTGAAAACAAATTCTAGTCCATCAATTCTATTTATTATTCCTTTCTGCCATTCAAGTACTAACCAGGCCCACCCCTACTTATCTTCCAAGATTAGATGAAATCAGACACATTGGGGGTGATATGGCCATGGATTATTTATTACACATTTCTGATTTTAAACCTTGTAGTCCAGAATGAACCAGGCAAAACAAAAAATTGGATAGCAGAAGAGTAAGGTGACCTTTTAATAACTGTACAAGTCTTTAAAGCTAAATGGTATATTCTAAGATGAGGAAGAGGAGAGAGAAGGCTTCCAAGAACATGAAGCAGCACGAAAACCAAGAACAAAAACATGGAGGCAATGAACCAGCACACCTTAGTGATTCTTTACATAGTTTGATGTGGCTATTGGTAGAGAAGGTGCAAGAGAGATAACCGAGGTGGTAGCCTAGGGTAATATGGTGAGCCTTGTACTTTATTCCTTTGGGTGATTGGGAGCCATAGGGATGTTTTAGTCATGGCTGTGATGATTTTAAAAACTCACCAGGGGAACACGTATTCTATTTAATGGAATGATGTGTTGCTAGATTCTAGAATTGATAAAGCCAATTGAGATCTTAAAAAAAAAACTAAAGACGAAACTCACCAGGACACCAAGACAAAGCTGTAATGGAGCCACACATTCAAATTCTGCCACCTAAGAAATCCTCATGCATCTCAATACAAGGAAAGAACCCTCTCTCTAATGAATTATACATCAGAATTCATTTCATCAGACACACACTCAGTTCACTGCCACTACTGTAGACCAAGCCAACATCAATCATCTCTTTTCTGGTCCTATGCAGTGGCTTCCCTATTTTCCCTCTTGCCCCCCTACAGTCTATTCTCCACAAAGTAATCTTTTAAAAATGCAAATCAGATAATGTCACCTCCTGTGCTTGTGTCCTTTCCTTGGCTCTTAGGCTAAAATCTAAACCCTTTACCCTGACCTACAAAGCTCTGAATGATATAGTTCCTACCTGCCTGTTCAACCCTACTTTCTAACATGCTCCCTCTTGTTCACTATTCTGTGGCAACACAACGCCAAGTCCAATCCCGCTTTATGGGCTTTGCATGTCTTATTCCCTCTCCCTGGAATGATCTTCCCTGTGCTTTTTACTTTCTCTTCGCATTCTTCAAATCTCACCTTCACGTCACCTCCTTACAGAGATCTTCCCTGACTACCATCTGCTACTTCCTCACAGGTCCTCACTATCACATCATACTCTTTATTTTCTTCACAGTACTTCTGTTGCCCTATTTCAACAGAACATCCACAAGAGCAGAGATCTTGCTTTTCTTGTTTACTGCTACATTCTCAATGCCAGCCAATAATACATGCTTAGTAAATACTTCTGACTTCCTGAATGTGTATCTATGTACCTTGAGGGGGCCAAAGGGAGTCTGACCATTTTCCTGTTGTACTGGAAGTTGGCCACTGAAAGAAAGTAGCTCTGACTGAATGACAGCTCGCAAAGGAAGTGATGCAGATCCAATGACTTCTGGCTGAAGGGAGAAGAAAATAAAAAGTTTAGGTTAAAGAGAAGCCATAGGGTATTTTAAATGAAGTGACAACATATGATGACTTATAAAAGAACCTGTGATTTATACAGGAAAAAGCTTAATTATTTGACTGAGGCAACTCTAAATGGAATCCCATTTTCTGTCATACTTCTGTCCCCCTTCTGGGTCTCACCAATTCTCCCTGGAAGATTATAGAAGGTTTCATAAGCCACAAGATGTTGAAAGATTATCTTTTTCTACTGTTAAGAGTTAGTTTTTTACTCAAAATGTTCAACTTCACTATTAAAAATAAAAATTGAAATTGAAATGATACAAATTTTTGCCATTAATACTAGGAAAATTACGAAATTTAATCTGCCTGTGCTATCAAGGCTATGGAGAAACAAGAGGCTGTTATGTGAGTAAAGCAGGGAATACAGACTTTTAGACAGAAAATTTGGTAGTAAATATAAAAAGCTTTAAATATTCTTATTCTTTGGCCCAGTAATTCCATTTCTGAGAATTTATACTAAATTAATAATAATACATAAAGTTTATACACAAATATGTATATGTTAAAAGTAGTTAATAACGAGAAATAAGTAGATGTCCAATAGTCAGAAATTATTAAGCTAATTATAACATATCCATAAAATGGAATAATATGCAGCCATTAAAATGATGTTTACTAAGAGTTTGTAATAGTATAAGCAATATTTGTTGTAATGTTCGGTAAAAGGATATTAAATTATATACAAATTTTATAAATATCTATTCAAATATTTATAACATTATGTGGAAAACATTAAATACATATTTTTGAAGACAAATGAATAAAAACTCTCAAGACAATGTTAAATGAAAAAAAAGGCAGGATGAAAACTGCATACAAAATTGTACAACATGTTGCACTTCTTTGAAAAAGACAAAGGATATACACATAAATGTTAATAGTTATTTGATGATAGGATTATAGGTGATTTTTGCCTTTTAAAAAATATTTTTCGAATTTTCTACAAAAAAGTATAATTATAAAAAATTATATTTTTTAATTAGAAAAAAGCCATTAACTAGATATAGGAAAATGATTCAATGTAATTATATTAAAATGTTTATGAAGGTTGTCTTCAAGTTGTCTAAAGGTTGTGGAATTATACAATTTTCTCTTCTTCCTATTTTGTTCTATTTTCCAAAAAAACTTGTATTATTTATATCCTCTGACAAAACAAACAAAAGAAAACAAGATGTATTCCTCATGCTATTCATACCAAAGAGAAGGTCAAAAGATTATAAAGGCTACTATTTTATTGAAGGAAGTAAAAACTGCTCATGTCATAGTTTATTAATTTATGTTATGCCAGTTGGAAGTGGATTTTATAAACTTGAAATTAGTTGATCAAAACTGCTACACACAAATATATCATCTTAGTTGTGGGCTGGATATCTTATATATTCTCTGTGCAAACAAAAAGTAGAACCTCAAACTAAGGTTAATATAGTCAATATAGTCACCTCTCTTTAGTAGGGAGCACAGTAAAGAAGTGAAGAACTTAGGATCTAAAGACAGAAGATGAGATGGAGTCCTGGCTTTGTCTCTTATTAGACTGGGTGATCTTAGACACGTTACTTAACTTCACTAAATCTTAGTTTCTTCATCTGTAAAACAATAATGTAACTAATTCAAAGAGCTGCTGTGATGACTAAACTTGGTAATGAGTTCACATAGAGCCTCTAGCATAATATCTGGCTTATAACAAACAGCAAACAGAGATTAGCAATAATATTACTAATAATACTAATAGTAAAAGCATTAGTGTTGCTTGAGCCTGGAGATATTCCTAGTTTAGGTAGGAATATTACTTAAAATATGCTGCAAATCCCTGGTATGAATGGTAGGGCAAAGGTCAAAAATGACTGGAAGTACCTTTTTCTGTGGAGTTTTCTTTGCATAAATTTGGAAAGTGAGGTTAGAATTCCACCAGTGCTCTATCATTGGGCCACCAAACTGTACTGGAAACACAAATCGCTGCTGGAATTTCACCACTGTAGGGAGAACCAGACACACAAGCACATGTCACACCACCCAACTAGAGCCATCATCAATCCATGCCTTGATACCACCTGCTTCCCTTTCAAATCTACTAAAATCTCTTTCAGGAGTCTAGACAGTGTGATTTCACAAAAAGTGTTAGAGTTGTAGGATTGAAGGAGCAGAGACAAACAGAAAAGCCTGGGTATAGTACACAGAAGATCAGCAGTGCTGTGTTGCTCTGCTTTGCTATGAGAAATGAATGGCAAGCACATGAGCACAGGATATTTAATGATACATAAACTTACATATCACTGGGTTTAAAGTAAAATGACTATTTTTAAGAGAAGGGGGCTGGTTGAAGGTAGGACAATGAGAGGAATAAATGAACAAAAAATTGAATAAAAAAACCTACAATAATAAAAACTAGTTTATCTTCTGACTGAAGAATAGGACACTCCTACTCTCACACTCAGACAAGGAACCAGGTCCTGATGTTAGTTAGCTGTGTTAGGTGGGGTAAAATCTGTCCCTTGGGTAGAAAGGAAAGGGTTTCTGCTATCATAAGTACAAATGGGATAAAGTGACAATGATATTTGAATTAAATATTAAAGTGGTCATTACTATGGGGCTTTAACTGGCAGGAATTTGAGACAGGAATCAAAGGATATGGGTTCAAGCTCCAGTTCTATTACTTACCAGTGACTATTTATCACTTGTAAAATGATCTTCCTGTACATTTACTTCTAAGGCCCCTAAAATGAATATGAAGAACCCTCACATAGGCCTAGTTACAGAGAGAATCTGCTATCTCTGGCATTCATTCAAATAGCACATTTTGACCTACCGATCTCTCTATTTATCTCTGGCCATTTTAATTCTTAACTCTGTGTACTTCTCTTGGTACTCTTGAATAGGATCTGGGTCTTGCTATATGGATCCACACTCAGGAACTATGAACAAAAGGTCTGGGCCCAGGAAACCCACATCCATTAGATCAGTTTATCTGGTTGCCGTACCAGGGAAGGGAAGTAAGACAACACCTATACCTCATTGGTGTTCTTGGAGGATCAACTAAGTTAATAAACGAAAAATCATTTTAGACATTGTAAAATCCTTTATGTACAAATAGAATTCTATTTCAGTCTGGTATTACTCAGATTTCTCCTTACTACCTAGGTACATTTTTGCACTACTACTGTATTTCTCATATAATTCTGTTTCTTAAGCTCATTATTTTTACCACTAAATGTGAGTTAAGGTAATAACAGAAGAAATTCATGTAAATAAATTGCTAACAATGTCCCAGATAAGATCTTTTTTAAGAGTTGGAAGGGATCCTGAAAATATCTAGTCCAATTCATATCATTGTTAAGAGAGGCCCACAGATGAGGAAGGGATTTTTGTCTAAAGTCACACAATTAGTGTGTGATATAATCAGAACTAGTACCCAGTCTCCCAATTCCTGGATCAATTCTTATTCTGCATTTCCCATACAATCCTTCTCCTAAGGACATGGAGAGAATTGAACTACTGTGGTCAACATAATAATAATGCATGAGAAGCAATACAGACTAAGAGTACACAGCTTGGAATCAAAACAGTTCTAAGTTCAAATTCCAGTTCTACCATAAACCAGTTGTGTGATCTTATACACACTACTTAATCAATTTGTCTCAGTTTCCTCTTTCTTCATCTATGTGTGTGTATGTATATATATTTTAATGTGAGGATTAAATGGTTAACATATGTAAAACACTGAATGGAATTCTTGGCACATAGTTTGGTTCTCAATAAATGTGAGCTACTATTAGTTACATACTATTTTGGAGTTTAATGCTTTTATACTAATATCCCATTTGATTATCCATTAATCCCTTGTTTAATTACAGGCAGTCCTTGCTTTGCAGGTACTAAAAACTTAAACTTGTGCATATCAGAACTGTGTCCTTGCTCTGCATAGTTCTATGGTAACTAAGAACTCAATCCCAACTGGCATGAGTTTCAATTAACACTGTATAGGCAAGATAAGGACTGCTGTTTTTTAGTTTTACAGAGGGGGAAACTGAGGCTAAGAAATTTTAAGAAACTCATCGAATGTCATAGAGGTAAAAGAAGGTAGAAGAGAAGCCTGAGAAAAGGATCCAACATTTTTCTTCGCACATAAGGGTTTGATTAAAACAGTTTCACCACACTAAAACTTCTCAGACATGCTTACTTTCAGCCAACCAGATCAGTCATGCATTCTTAAATGCACTGAACAAACCTTCAGGGCAACTTCTGCGGCTATTGATAATCTAAGCATACGGCCAGGAAATAAACATAAGAAAAATTTTAAATGCTCCTAATTCTTCCTTAAGGTGACGGGGAAAAGGAAACAATGTTCTCTAGTAGTAAAAGAACATGTTATATATTACTTTAGGTAAAATTTTCAAAGGTAAATAAGAATTTATTTATTTTTAATATTTATGCTGGATATACTCACATCAAGTACAAAATGATACATGTACAAGATTATTCATTGAAGTATTGTTTTTTAAGAGCAAAAGATTGAAACAACTTAAATACTGATCAGCAGGGGGCTATTTCAATTATGGCATAAGGGAAGGATCAAGATGGTGGAATAGAGGGTACCCAGAGTCCCTCTCTCCCATAATCAACCAATTTACAACTATTAAAAAGCAACAACTGCCAAGCTGGGGCTGTTAGAGCTCAGGGAAAAGGGGGAGAGACCTATGGAGTTCACGAAGGCATGAGAAGTCATGATGAGAGAAAGAAAGGACTGCTCTGAATATTTTGAGCCCTGACCACTTCAAGGCTGGCCCTAGTGAGCACATGGAGCAAGAGCTGGCAAAATCGGCTGCTGTCGAATATTTTGAGCCCTGACCACTTCAAGGCTGGCCCTAGTGAGCACATGGAGCAAGAGCTGGCAAAATCGGCTGCTGTCCCCTTCATATGACATTGCTTGGAGGCTGCAGGGGATAAGAGGGCCTTGGTGGCCCCCAGGCCAGCAAGACCACTAACAGGGTTCCCATGGAGCCACATAGGAGTGAGGGGCCAGAGACAACTGAATAAAGGAGCCACTCAGAGGCTGGTGAGTCATCACAAGGGACTGGCACATAGCCCATCCCATGGGAAGTGTTTGGAGTGCAAAGGGGTGGGCTCACCCGGGGAATGCTGAGGCACAGCATGGATAGCTGTCTGCCTTCCAATAAGCACAGGCCCACTCAGTGGAGGCTTGTAGAGGATATTGACTAAGATGCTATTAATGAGATAGAAATAAAACACATGTAGCTTAGAGGACCAAAGTCCTTAGTGTAGAAGGCTAAAACCTGTGGTTTAGAGAACCAAAGTCCTGTAGTTTAGGAGGCCAAAGCCTCTAGATTAGGAGGCCAAAGCCCAACCCTTTAAGAAAACACGTAGAAATGCTAAGAGTAAGAAAGACCAGAAAATTTTCACAGGACTAAAGCCTTTGATGTAGATAAGAGAATTGAAGCACAGCAAAAAGTGATTGCTGCGGGGACAGTTGCCCTTGGTACAGCTAAACCTAAATGATGGGAAAGTATGTAAGCTAAATCTTCAAGGATATTCTCCTAGTTAGTGCTTGGGAGATGTTCCACATCTCACCCTAAGCTGTTTCTTTAAGTTTCCTGGGGAGCTAAGAACTTTGGTGATGATCGCATTGTCTTTTTTTGTATGTCACATAGCTTAGTTTTATGGCTCCTTTTGATGGTAAATTGCTTGAACTATTTTAAACTATACCTGCTTAATGAAGATTGTCATGTAGCCAGTTTGTTTATGTTTTCACTATGGTTGATTAACCATCTGTTTTTCTTCTGTAACTTTCTTGTCTTTACAATAAAAACTGAAGTAAAAACTGACTCAGGACTGTTCCTGGGCTCTCCTCTCTTGAAGGAGTTTTCTTCAGTGCAGTCCCTTCGGGCTTCTCATTACTCTGAATACATGGGATCTAAGTAATCTTTTGCATCTCCGTCACTCAGCAAGAGGTGAGAGAGACTGGTCAGGAATACAGAACTGCAGAGAGTGCACTTTGCTGAAAAGACTCAGGCTCGGACTAGAGTTTTCACACAACCCAGGTGTACCGGACCTCACAAGCTCGGAAGTGCTGCAAAGGTCAACAAATAAAACCTGAGCTCCACAAAAAGCCTTCCCCAGAGAAACAGCAGCCAAGCAGCAATTTAGCTCAACCATAGGGCTCAAGTGCTAGTCCCACAGGAAGTTCCCCCATTCTAGATGTAACCAAAGGACAACAAATTAGTTCCAGTGTAGAGTTTAAGTGGTGGGGGTAGCTAACAGTCCAACATAGAACTGAAAGAAAAAACAAAAACCCCACAGGTCAAAGTTCTGATATTAACCAGTAGAGGTCTAACACCACCAAAGAACACTTATAAAACCTAAAGGAGCCAGAAGCAACCCCAGGATCCTGAATCAGTGTGAGGAGGGGGCTGAGGGCCTCAGCCATGCCCCCTGACGTGCACATCCAGCCCAGTGATGACCACTGAGCCACTGCCAGAAGTGTTCTGGGCTCCCAAGCCGAGGTGGGGGGAACTGAGGGCCTCAGCCACACCCCCCTGACATCTACATTCAGCCCAGCAATGACCACCAGGCTGCTGCTGGAAGTGCCTCAGGCTCCTGGGTTGGAGGGAGGAGGGACCAAGGGCTTCAGCCATGCCCCCCTGAAGTCTGCATCTAGCCCAGCCATGACTGAGCTGCTGCCAGAAGCCCCCTGGGCTCTCCTGCCAGAATGAGGAGGGGGTGCCAAGGGGCTTCACCACACCCTCCTTTCCTCCTCCTCACACCCTATCCCCCCCATGCCCCTCTCCCCCAACTGCTCTGCAACATCTTAGACTGTAAAAAAAAAAATTATGGCATAGAAATACAATGGAATATTATGTAGTCATAAAGGAATAAGGAAGCTCTTTATACCCTTATATGTAAAAATTCCTAAGATATGATATTAAAGGCAAATGCAGAACAGTGTAGTAATATTTGCAGAAAAATGGAAGGGCAAAAAGGAATAAACATTTTTGCCAATACATGCATAAAATAGCTCAGGAAAGATATAAAAGCAACAACTTTGTTTGCCTACAAAGATGGAATCTTGAAGTTTTGAACCATGTAAATAGATTATCTAGTTTGAAAAGCATATAAACAAACAAATCAAAGCAAAATAAAAATTTAAGAATCCAATGCTATATAGGAAAGCTACCTGAATATGTAGGATAGTTAGGACCATGTCTTTTACTTCTCAAACTACCTTCCAGAGAAGAAATTTAACACCAATGAACTGTTGATGGATCAAACTGGAGAACCAAGGCAAAGAAAAGTGGCTGTAATTCAGATGGTAGGAACATAAATGTTTATTATATTATCCTTTTACTCTTCTGTATTAGAAATATTTAAAACAAAATAAGAAGAAAAACAAAAGATAACACCAAAAGCACAAGGACCAAAAGAAAAAATAGGTAAAATGGACTACATAAAAATTAAAAACTTTTCTGCTGTGAACAATACCATCTACAGAGTAAAAGGACAACCCACAGAACGGCAGAAAATCAAATCAGAGATCTAATAAGGGACTTGTACCCAGAATATATAAAGAACTCTTACAACTCAATAATAAAAAGAAAGCCCAATTAAACCATGGGAAAAGGATTTCAATAGATGTTTTTCCAAAGAAGATATACAAATGGCCAATAAGCACATGGAAAGATGCTTAACATCATTAGCCATCAGGGAAATGCAAATCAAAACCATAATGAGATACCACTTCACATCTACTGGGAAGGCTAGAATAAAAAATAATGAAAAGTAATAAGTTTTGGTGAGGATGTAGAGAAGTTGGAAACCTCATACACCGATGGTGGGAATGTAAAATGGTACAGCCAACTGATTTTTTTTTTTTTTTGTCCTTTTTGTGACCGGCCGCACCGCGCTCAGCCAGTGAGCGCATCGCACCGGCCAGCCCTATATAGGATCCAAACCGCGGCAGGAGCGCCGCTGCGCTCCCAGCGCCGCACTCTCCCGAGTGCGCCACGGGCTCGGCCCAGCCAACTGTTGAAAACAGTCTGGCAGTTCTTGAAAAAGTTAAAACATTGAATTACCGTATGACCCACTAATTCCATGGTTAGATATATGCCCAAAGGAAATGAATACACACATCCATACAAAACCATGTGCAAAAATGTTCATAGCAGCATTATCCAAAATTGCAAATAAGGAGAAACAACCCAATTGTCCGTCAACTGATGAATGAACAAATGAATTGTGGTATATCTATATACCTGGAATATTATTCAGCTACAAAAAGTAATGAAATACTGATAAACACCACACATGGATGAAACTTAAAAATATTATGGTAAGTCAAAGAAGCCAGTCACAAAAATCACATGTATGATTCCATTTATATAAGATATCCAGAATGGACAAACTAATAGAGATAAAAAGTAGATTGTGCTTGCTTAGGGTTGGGAAGGAGAGGAAAATGCTAATAAATATAGGGTTTCTTTTAGGGGGGATGAAAATGTTCTCAAATTAGATTGTGGTGATGGTTGCACAGCCCTGTGAATATGAGTATACTAAAACCATTAAGTTGTTTACAATTCAAATGGGTGAACTGTATGGTATATAAATTTTTATCCTGATAAAGAAAGCTGTTTTAAAAGAAAAATGGTGACAGTTTAAAGAACATTACCTACACATCGGAAGTTCTGAGTTCTAGTCTCAGCTATATTACTGACCTCCCGCCTTACGTCAGGATAGTCAAAGTACCACTGGACCAATTTCCTGACTTATAAAATAAAAGAAATAGAATAGATTCACTTCACAATTCTTTCTAGCTTTAAGAGTCTATGATATTATAAAAGTCAGATCAGTAAATAGGGAATCAAAAATTCTTCCAAAGTCAAAATGTCTAAAGAGCAGAAAGCCAGTCTGTTTCTTACTTCCATCTGTAATTTTACTGGAGGTGAGTCGAACAACCTCAGTGATCAAAGCTGTCTTTCCCAATCCACTTTTGGAAAAGCCCACAGGAAAGTGATATTCCACAAAGAAAGTGCTAAAAATAAAAACAAAAAAGTGATTAAAAACCAAACCAAATAAACCTGTTTTCTGTCTGATAAATCTTACATATCTTTGAAGGTCTTATTTTCAGGACCTCTATCCTCAGAGGCCCTTCTTCTTCAAAGGCTTCATCAATCCTGTCAGGCAAAATAAAAGGCTCCCTTCCTTGTTTCCCCACAGCACTTTTAATATAAAGCATCTATTTTGGCCCTTAAAGCCCTAGTTATAGAGAGCCTTTTAAATGTTTCTGTCTCATGCTAACTGTAAGGTCTGCAAGAACAGAATTTGCATCTTAATTTTCTTTATTCTAACACTTACCTAGCGCAGCTCTTGGGATCTAGTGGGGGATTCAATTCATTTTTGTTAAATGAATGATGCATATGAAAACACGTTACAAATCATAAAGTGTTATACAATTACTGATTACTATTATCAAACACAGTTTCTAAAAATGTCAAGTTTAGCTTTCTCATGTTAGAGACATACCGCTTTTTTACTGTCGTCAGCTTAGGTGGTCTTCCAGTAAGGCTTTTCTTGCCTGGGGTCATCTGAGGACTATCTGGGGGAACTCCCATTGTTTCGATGATGATTCTGACTGAATGTGTTCTACCCAGAAGGGCCAGTCTATCCGCACTTAATGTCATCACTTGGGCATCTTCTGGAGTTTCCAAGAGCATTTGTTCCTCAATCAAATTTCTAAAAGGAGTTCATACAGACAGTGAGGCAGACACAGGCCTAACATGAAAGAATCTAGTTTGCACAGGCAAGAGGAGGAAAGAAGTATGGCAGCAAGCATCTTAATTTACAAGTTTTCAAGGACTGGAAATGGCTTTAATTATCAGAATTCTCATCCAAATCTACAGTGAGAAATCTCAAAAAAATGTAAAAACATTCTTGTAACCTAAAGGTTTATCTCCACAAAAGTGTAGAAACTGATGTTATGGAATTAGGTTTTTCTAGAAGGGATACACAATTTCAGTTACCTACTATCCTAACATAACTACTACTGTCACTTTTGTGTATTCCTTTTTATTTGTTTTCCTTATGCATATTTTCTACATAGGTGGATCACAGTATAATACAGCCTAGAATTCTGCTTTTTCCCTTAACCACTTTAATTATACCCATCTTTTCAAGTAATTACATTTTTAAGGACTGCAATGCTTACTGAGTTACCATAACTTACTTAACCACTCTGATAGTGTTGGGCAAACACAGGTCCTTCACTTGAGGAGATCTTGTAAAAATAATCTTTCTTGGGCTGAGCCCGTGGCGCACTTGGGAGAGTGCAGCGTGGGGAGCGCAGCAGCGCTCCCGCTGCGGGTTCGGATCCTATATAGGGATGACCGGTGCGCTCACAGCACTCACTGGCTGAGCGCCGTGTGGACGGTCTCAAAAAAGGACAAAAAAAAAAAAAAAATCTTTCTTTGCTTTTGCTTCTAAACAAGCATTCATAGAGAGGCTCACCTGTTTTTATTGACTGCTGCCCTCTTCTTTAGCTTATGATCACTTGATTCTGGAACCTTAGTAAAAGGCGAAAGATTTATACGATCTGAAGAGAAACCAGAGTGTGATTCTGGAACCTTAGAAGATCTGGTAGCAGGTTTTGACTGGTTCATTTTTTTAGAAGAAGCAATATCATCGTCTTCACTGAGGAAATCACCGATGCTGGTATCAGATTTCTATGAGGGGAAGAAACAAAAAGAGTGACACTTAAAAGATAACTGCTTTGGGCATAGTAGTAATGAAACATTTCTCTAAAAAAAGTAAATAAGTTCTTCTCTGCACATACATCATTCTCTTAAAGAGATAACTGACTGACACCAGGGAGATAATCCCATATTTATCCTGATTGTACAAAAATAATCTGAAGTTCTCAAAGGCTTCAGATCTCCATAACAGCCAACGACCAAAAAAATAAATAAAAAAATAAAAATTGAAGTTCATAAAAATAACCTACAAGTTCAATTCAAAGCAAATATATGAAAGTAGATTTTTCTTGCAAATTCTCAATAATAGTAACAACCACTATGTACAGACTGCCTACTATGTGTCTGGTATTATGCTAAATGCTGCATGTATATTTCTAACATTCACCACATTCCTACAAGGCGCACTTATCTCAGTTTTTACAAGTGAGAAAACTAAAGCTGAGAGAAGTCAGGCAGCTTATATACAATCCACAGCTGTAAGGAGTAAAGCCTGATTTTGATCTCCATGGGTTTCAAAGCCCATATTTCTATCACAGTTTGAGGTCAAATGAGTGATACAATATCACTTAACTAATTATTTAGATGCAAAGACTGATGCTAAAATGAACTCTTTACTATATTTCACAAATTTTCTTAATGGAGGAACCAGTGGCTAAGCCCCCTGTAATTCATTTTTATTTTGAGAAAAGGCAGCTACCACAATTGACTGATCAGCCCCTTATATCACAAAATGCAAAACAGAGAGAAGACAGCATTATAGTTATTGGGCTCCAAATTTTTTAAAAAGGTGTAAAGTTTGCTAATATAAATTCAGGAAACCAATCCAAAGTCATTTTAAGTTTATCTCCAACTCCTCTTTTTCAGTATATCAGGGCATATAATGTGTTGACCTGTGATAGGGGGACAAATTAATTTAAATAAGCATAATTATCCTGATTTGAGTATCATGTATTGCACACAGGTACTGATATTCAGTGCTATACCCCACAGATATGTACAATTATATTTCAATAAAAAAATAAAAAATAGTTTAAATAAGCATGATACCAATGTCCTTCTAGGAAGCAATATAACTTTTTTTTTTTTTTTTTTTAAAGATGGCCGGTAAGGTGATCTTAACCCTTGACTTGGTGTTGTCAGCACCACGCTCACCCAGTGAGCGAACCGGCCATCCCTATATCGGATCCGAACCCGAGGCCTTGGTATTATCAACACTGCACTCTCCCGAGTGAGCCACGGGCCGGCCCGCAATATAACTTTTTCAAGGTGAAGTGACAAAGCTTTTTGCTCTTAGGTTTTTCTTTAAGTGGCAGCTTTTAAAAATGGTTATTGACAAGGCAATAAAAATCTACACAGGTGTACAGGCTGTAAAAATTAGTGTAAACATAAACTAGGTTGTTCAAAAGCTAAGAATTTCAGGAACCAAAAAGTACAAGGTAATAATGCTTAATTTGTAAGCTATGGATATTACTCAATATTAAGAAAAGCAAACAGACTCTGGGGAAGGACATAAGCATTGTAACTCCTTGGTCTTCCCAATGCCTCATGATCGAGTGGGTCATTTCTTCTTCAAGTCAACAAACATTTTCTAAGATTATTTTGTTCAAATAGCATGGCAGATTACTTAGTGCTACTCATACATTCATTTATTCACGAAGTATTCACTGACTGAATACTCAATATGTCAGGCCTTTGCTATAGTGGTAATAAAAAGACAATGAAGATATGTTCCTGTTTATAAGGAACTGTATCATACAATGCTGTAAGAGCTATAATAGAAATATATACAAGATATTGTGGGCATTCAGGGAACAAATTCTGCTTGGGGGAGTCTAGAATCATTTCTTCATACAGGTGATTTTTAAAGAATGAAGTTTACCAGATGGATAAGGGCATGTCAACATCCAAAGTAGAAGGACCAGTACCAGAAAAAAATATGGAGATACAAGAAGAGCTAGAATGTTTGAGGAGTTGGATGAGACTCCAGCATGGCTAGAATTTCCAGAAGTTAAAGGGCAAAAGTGGAAGATGAGGTCAGGGACAGATTCTAACCACGTTCAAGCCTTCTAAGACAGTGTGGTCTAGTAGAAAAAATACAGGCTTTTTGCCAGACAGACGAGGGTAAGAATTCCAGTTCTGCCACGTAATTACTTAAACTCTCTAAGCTTTTGTTTCATCATATGTAAAACAGAGATAATACTATCTCACGGGGCTAGTAAAATAATTAAATGAAATAATGAATTAAAAACATTTGGTATGGGGCCGGCCCGGTGGTGCACTGCTACAGTGCGCCGCTTGGGAGTGTGGCGGCGCTCCCGCCGAGGGTTCGGATCCCACATACAGACCAGTTCCCGCTCACTGGCTGAG